CTCTATTAGGCATATAATAAGATTTTTTTTCTGAAAATGGTCAACATTCCTAGAGTGTAATGATTCTAGAATAAATTACCGCACCTTCTTGAAGTCTCTTTGTTTTGACTTGGCGTAATTGAAGAACTGAAAATAGCAGTCCATCTCAATTCAAATGATTTTTGATGTTTATTACACTACCATTCTGTAAGTTTCGTTAGATAAATGAATAACAATATCGGCCTTTTTTCTGCCATGTCTCCGTTATACGGTTAATTCGCTGTGATATTGTAAAAAGTTGCAAAGTCATATCAATTTCATAAAAAGTAGGTTTTTAAAAGAAAACTGCTGTGTTCATTTTTTCAATAACATCTTATTTAATCACAGTACTTAATACATAAGAATAAAGTTACGAATGAAATATAGATTTAATTTCCTTCATTTTATATTGTTTTCTTCATATACTTTTGACATTTCAATGTTATTTGATATTCTATTACGAGCTGTCCATCCGTCAAATTGATATTATCTGTTTGATCACAAAATCGTTTCTGAGAGATTCTTGACTTGTGATAATTATTTCAAATAGTCTGTTTTGCGAGACGGTTTTGAGGGCCAAGCTTCCCTCATTGGAATTGACAATTCTAATTACACCGAGTCCTTTGTAAAGGGCAGCCAAAAGCCATTTTCTCTTCGGCATCTCATAACCGTTTCTATTATTTCCTATGGGAGTTTACAATAAAATATACTCAGAAGTAATTTTGGTTATCATTACTAAAATGTATACATTGACGTGTTAACTAAGGATTTAGTCATAATGTTGTATTTGAGAAAACAAAATGCAGCGTTTATCATGAATCGTGTGCCCGAAATCGTCCAGACGATCGACAATCACAAATAAATACCTATTTTGGAACAGAACTCAAATATCATTTCAATTTGAAGTATACATAATTAATATCCTATTCGATTGAACGTATTTCGCATGCGAGACCTGGTTTAGCTATTTAGCCGTTGCGAACTAAAATAATATTCGTTTGTACACAGGGCCCTCTGGATACGTGCCCAGGCCCCCGTGACGTAGCATAATTCCTATCAGATCAATAACCTGCAATCAATTTCATTATGGATAAAACGCATATATTAGGAAGTTCATACGCCTAATTATACGAAGAAGTTGGGTCCAAATGATCCCATTTTCAACTTCTTCTTTAACTTTTTCTATCCCTTAATCAAAAATCAAAATCAAATAATTTATTGGCCATATAACTCAGAAGGTTACACTCGGCAAGACTTTTACAATAAGCATTTCAAATTAAATATAAAGGTTTAAATCATGCAGGTCAAATCATTGTAGGAATGACAAATAAATTAAGTATTTTAACAATGTCAAAATGGTTATTTCTTACGATTCTTAATAATGTCAGAAAATATTGATGACAACAATTAACTTAATAACAGTTTAAATGATTTTTATACCCAACAAAAAGAAAATTAGATTATGGGGTATTCCATGCTATGCATATGTTTATACCTATTAATTAAATAATATTTTATTTTTGCTTTCCAAAAAAATAGTAGACTTCTTCCGGCCGGCTAATCGCTCTTATTTTGTTGCTGGGCCATTGCCCGGCTGGCCCCCCTTAGATAGGGACCTGCTTGCGACAGCTTTACTTTGAATCTGATCCGCCCCTGCTCACTCTAATTAACATAGTGTCCGACCGTTATCAGTAGTTGGGACATCAACTGTCACAAACGTGTCAAATATGTCGCATTCAATATTAGCTCCAGGAATACGTATACCTACATCAAGTACTTTATTAAAATCCAATAGGCATTCCATTATGGCCGTCCGATTGTGGCATTCCTTATAACGACTGAATCAATAGATGTCAATGGTGTGCCTGTCAATTTCTTCGCCGCTTACCTATCAACCACCTATCAGATATCAATCAGAGAATTGGTCAGCTGTCTCAGTTATCCTTACTTGGTGATGAATTTTGCAAGGATATGTCACTCTATCCATATATTTAGCGTGAAATGCGTGTTGAATTATTGATAGATTAATTAAAAAACAATTCCATAATTAAGTCTTTTGTTTTATTCACTTTAAACAAGGCAAAATCAATATAATAAAGAAAATATCTATTTAATAGTAATATTACATCTTCGGCGCTTCTTTTGAGAGGTTTAGAACTTGTTTGTTGGAAAACATTTTTGTTTAGAGGATTCAATTTGCTCACCTTTGTAAGGTTCGCGGAATATTTGGAGCCTGTTATCGCATATTACTACATCTTTCATGGCTCTGCTCTGATGTCAAATTATGGTATTTAAAATATAGTTATTCAAGATTTTGTAGAATAATTAATTAAAATAATGGAACTTCTCAAATCGAATTATAAGAAAAACAATCGAATTGAAATTCTTTATCATATTCTCTTTATTTAAAAAGCTTCAAGATATTATTAGAAAAGAGAAACTGAATAAAGTATTTGGTTCGAATAAATTCTTCGCGAAAAAATTTATCGTAAAATTTCAACGCTAAATGTAAGCTACATAAATAAAGCAATTTTCTCCGGTAATCTTCTTTTGACAACTCATAAATCATTAACGTCGACATCGAAGCGATATTATCACAATCATCTTATAACGATATTAGTATACTAAAGAGCTGTTTAAAATACTAATCAATGTTCATTTTGTAATGTTCAAGCAACGGTTTAGCGTATATTTATATTCAAATAGGTAGTCGTAAATTTTTGCACAGAAAACCCATTTAGATTCTTAGCACGTAATACGTGCCTGGCGTAAGAAGAGTTGACGCTGCTAGCTTTATGCCGGCGCGTCTTTGGCTTCGTTTTTTATTAAACTCCCTTGACTTTAAAGATTATTTTCTCATGCATCAGTTATTACATACATAAGTGAGTGTAAGGAAACTCATATTCCATCGCGTTTGACATTCTTCAAGGTAACATAATTATTTATTCATTTACGGTAGACAAAATGTTTTGCTTGGCTATTTTTAATAAAAGTATTAGATTTATGGTATTGTATTGTTCATACTATTATGTTAAATTGTTACTGACAAAATATATGTATCTGTATTAAGTTCATATCAACGAAATATTATGTTTGGTCATGGAATCCTTATTACTTTAATTTATTTCATGAGGAGTAATTTCTAATTTAGACGACAAATTAACCCTATGACTATTACGCTTTAAATATTTAAAAGTAAAAGATTTTAGATTTAGATTACATTGACTACTAATTTTCGTAATTTATTATTTTCAACTAAAAACATAAATACAAGTTTTCAAATTTTCGTAAATGACACTTTGGCTACAATTATTTGTCAAAAAGTTATTGCAATATGGCACAATGCCAAAGTTTGAAATATAAAATTAGTTGGAAGTGTGACTATTAGTCAAACTGTCCTAATATACAAAAACAATGCTTGCGTGCGGTAAAAAGAATTTTTCAAAGTAATTTATGTCAGGACGCTTACTAACACATTTTGTGCAGAAACACTCCAATTTATTATGTAAAAATAGCAATTAATATAATATAGTATTGAAGTTGATTTCCTGAAATATTTTTCACTTTTATAAATTTTCATTAAAGTTTATTTGTTTCCTTTTTTATAGTGGATTAAATGTTATTAGTAATATCTTCAAACTTACTAAAGCAATTTTGTTGAAACTTGTAGAGTTCTTTAAGCCAAAGCTAAGAACCCAAACAAAGATGTATAAGTTGCGAGAAATGCGTGGCCAACATACGGACATATATGTATAAACCCTATACAATTGCAAAACTTAGCACACGTGTTTATAAGCACACGTATCATATAATTATATGAATATCACGCCATGTCAACTAATTTACATCATACAGGTCAAAAGGGGTATTTTAATAATTTTATTTGAATTTTAAATAAGAAGGGTATGCCTTCTTTTTTTAAAATTCGAAAATAGGTACCTATATACTTTCCTATTTGAGAATAAAAAGAGTAAAATGTAAATTTAACAATTGGAAAAAACATTAGCAAAGCACTTCTAAAAATAAGTAGCAGTTTGGCATCCGGGTAAAAAATAGACGAAAAAGAAGGCAATTTCGTTTATTTTTTTTTACATAACGGTCACGTAATTCGAATGGTTTTCCGTTCAACTGAAATCCCTTTAAATATAAATGTTTTGAAATCGGAAACCAGTGCGTGCTGTTTCTTGAAAATAATATAACACCGTTCCCTATCACAGTATTTATTATTTGTAAACACAAGTTCATGAATTCAGTGTGTGCCGTTTACGTGTATACCGTTATTGGTATTTGTTTACGTATTTTGCTCGAGTGTTTGGCGGAGATAAATTGTTTTCATTTTTGTGCTTAATTATTTAGGATCGAGGTTGTATTAAGTATTTGGCAATTTATTTAAGGGGCGGCGATGATGGGTTAACATCTTTTTAGATACTTAAAATTATTGCTTTATCAGCCCTCTTTAATCTGGAGTATTCAAACTTTTCGTTATATATCTGAAACGATGGAGGCGAATATTAATTTTATGCTAATTTTTTTTTGGCATTTTCCAGGTCGATCTATACTTAAATACGCATATTTTTCTTCAAATTTTCGTGCATAATTTTCTGATCGAAATTTATACAACTTAGAGGTAATATAATTTAGTATCTCGAGCACCTCCGTGCAAAGTATGTTCAGCCGTTGGTCTTGGTTGCATCTGCAATCGTTAACACCCACCAATCCGCATTGGGCCCGTGTGGTGGGTCATGGCCCATTCTCCCTATTCGATTCCATCCATAGGGAAGGCCCATTCCCCAGCAGTGGGACATTAGCAAATTTGGTAGGATATTTTAAAGAGCGTCTCAAAATAAGTTTTGTATACTTCGTATAGGGTTTGTTTTTTGAGAAGGGTACAACTTGAACGCTTAATATTTGATTCTAAAATTATTATCTAAATAATCTTGATGGTTTGGAATATTTTTAATGCATTTGTGTTTCTTTTCCAGGTCATCCATTATGAGGACTACGTTGTGTCTTCAGCTGCTGATTGCAGCAGTTGCGCCAACGTTAGCCGGTAAGCATCGACAATCAGTTAGTTCCCAAATAGACAAGACATAGACAATAGAAAAGCTCTCCTATGGATTTTAGAAAACTTAATCTGCGACCAGTTTAAGCTAGTTTGTTTTGATCATGATGTGGTAAACTGTGTTGGTGTACAATTACCTATATATCATCTGTTTAATTATGTAAATTCAATGTAAATTGTATCACTGTTTTTTTACCCCTGAAAAAGAAAATAACATCTATTTAATCACGCTTATTATTCCATAAAGACCGAGAGCTTTACCTCTCTATATTATTAAAAATGTATCGCTAAGCACAAATCTTGAGAACCGTAGAACCTATTATATATAACATTCGTTTTTTTTTTATTGAGATGAAATAGTAGAATACACTTTTTTCTCTTACCATAGACAAGGGTCAGCTAATATACCTATAAAGGTTACAAACAATATTGATGTGTTGCTAAGGCCCCCAAAATTTTATCTATAAGTCGAAAATTTTAGTTAATTTATCTTAATAAGTATATCGTACAATTATTTTATCTGTAGTATTTGGTGTACGTGTTAATTTTTACTAATATTACAATGAGGGAAGATCTGATTTTTTGCTTAATTGCATTGAATAGGCTCTGAAACTATAGAACCGATTTTAAAAATTCTTTTACCTACGGGTAGCTGCATCATATAAATATGACATAAGCGAGCGAAGTCGTGGGAATTAGTTTTGAATAAGACTGAATTTGGTTTATGTATGTGCACTTATATTTCTTTGATTAAATTTTGTACAGATTACTGGCACATCATATGTTATACAAAAACTTTGAAGTCATTGTCTTTTAATAGGTATGTCAGAAATTTCTATGTATGTTTTGTTACATGATATAACCATTTACTTGATATTAAATCAACGTAAACTTATAATGTAATAAAATATAAACTTTCTAAACAGCTTAGTTCGTTTCACATTGTACAGAACTGTCTGCTTTGTATTGTTCAATAAAGCCTTTTAAACACGTTTGACAGCGATCCGACACGAGAAAAGCTCGGGATATTTCTAAAAATTCTAGTAATTTGTCCAATATAAAAGCATAAAAGCTATTTCAAATCAGCGACGAGGGCTTTGTGGAGGTCTTTGTAAGGTTTAAAGTTTATATTATGTTATTGAAGGTTCCATTCCAGCTAAACTGGAAGCGGATATTAATTAGCAAAAGGTATTATAGATTTGTATCTTCGATGAATCGTCATTTACTGATGTGTACGTATTTGTGCAATTCCTGTAACATTTACATTAAAAAAATATTATTTCTAGCTTTAGGCCAGCGCGGTTTACATCATAGCTTGCTTGACAGTACTTTTATCCCTAGAGAACCAACTAGTGCGATAAAAAGTAACTTATCTGTTAATCCAGGCTTAGATTCGTTCCGTAGTTTTTGCGTGAAAGAGTTACAATCATACATACATACCTTCTCATAAACTTTCGCTTTTATAATATAAGCACGATACTATCATTACACAGAAGATGACACATGTTAATTGCTCCGATTCCAAGCTATTATTAGAAACGATTTATTACTTGTTGTCAGAGACTGACCGTGGTCCATCGGTTGAAAGATTAGCGCCCCTGTCACCTACTAGAGATGAGGCGTGTTTACTAGAATTAGAACGGGTGCGCCCATACGATATCTCACTCTCGACCGGAGAAAAGTGGCATTTAGTGTAGCCACAGCGTTTCTCGAGTTTGTTATGCTACGTGTGCTATGATTCTGTTATAAACACCTACGAACTTGACGTCGAGTGAAGCGCTGTCACAGTACTGTGTTTTATTGAAATAAAACCGTTATTACTTTATGAAGTTTTTATTTGATACGATATCGCTGCGTTGACCTTGAATTTGAGGCTGATATTATAAATGCAATAGCACTGCCGAATCACCTATCAAGTATTTTACCATAATAGGTACCAATATTTTAAATACATGATACACATATAACATTAAACGATTTACGTCCCTTCTTACAATATCAGAGATCAGATCACCTATAGCACCTAGTATTTTTCTCAATTTCTTTACTCTATGAAGTATGTAAGCCTATTTAGAACAGAGGAAAAGGTGTTTGCGCGACTATCAATTTAGGTCCTATTTGTTTGTAAATAGGGTTTTTAATAAACCACGGCGTCTAGACTGAGTAATTACTACGAAAATCTATAAATACGTCTTGATAGATTACGTACTTGGATCGAGTATTAGATAATACTAGGAATAGTTGCACCTATTACCAAATTCACCTAGTATACGCAACACCACAACAAAGTACTCGACTTTGGCTTATTGCTGATGTTTATGACGTTATCGCCACATTTTGTACTGAATTTGAAAACTTAATTGCTGTTGCTGATAAAGTAATGAAAAAATACAATAGCGAGACCTAAATAAACACAATAAGAAGGACAAGTGTCAGACAGAAATCTGTAGGTCTTTTAATATAAATAGAAATACTCTAAGTCGAGTGTTGGCGCCTCGGAACAACTAGTGCGACTTAGATTATCTCAGAAGTATATATGCTATCTTACTGGAGATTATAAGATTGTTGGATCGTAAAAAATAACCATTTGTAACTAAAGACAATATTTTTCCAAGCTTTCGACGCACTTCGTTAACAACGAAGTGCGTCTCCTAAGCGACGTCTTTCGAACCGTAATTTTTTATCTTGGTTATTCACTGTTGAAAAGCTTGTATGCTACTAACTTGAGCTTATTGACACAAAACTTTTATCGACGGTATGTCGAAGCCTAAACGTAAAGCCTTATTGTTCTTTTTTGGCCTCATATTAACCATTTTACTAAATGATAAGTGCATTATGAAATCCTATTAATATTATAAATGTGAAAGTTTCTTTGTTTGGATGTTTAGATGTTTGGATGTTTGGATGTTTGGATGTTTGTACGTCAATCACGCCGAAACTAATGAACGGATTTTGATGAAATTGGGTATACAGATAGAGTATTACCTGACTTAGATAATAGGATACTTTTTATCCCACCAAAAGGTTCCCTAGGGATAAAAGTACCTCCAACGGCGCCTATTTTTGTGAACGCTGCCTAAACGGTATGAGATATACTAATGCTTTCTAAAGAAAAGTTGGAGAGCCTTAAATTATCTATAAAAAAGTCCGCGATGTCATATATCTATATGCAAGGGTTTTGCCACAAAAATAAAAAGAACTTTATATAAGTCTATTTAAATATTTCGTCCGTCTTTAAACGTTTATTTGAGTAGGTGATATTAAATCCTTATCGAAATAAATATGTTTATCGTCGAAGAAATTTAATATACATGAAAATTGTCTTTTACACCATATAGATTGGATAAGTAGTTTAGATTTTAATACGATGTTTTTGAGAAAATAAAACAACGTATATTGCCGATTTTCTAAACACTATTTTATGTACATGTATGTATTAAGATAAAACAGCATTTTTAATGTAATCGGTAATATCAAGCCCAACAGATGGCAATGCCTGTATTCTACATTGCGATGTTCAATTACCGCAACTACTTGGATATAGATGACTGTGACTCTGCGGTGCGATTCAATAATCTCTTCGTTGTAAGTGATTTCTGCGTTGTCAATTGGTTCTATTTGTCGATTTGGCTATTCTAACGGACTTGACTTGACATTTTGTGTGATTTTATCTCAAATAACTTCTATATTTTATATCTATTTAGCAATTCTCTAACTTTACATATTTATATTAAGATCTGTATCTAGCTTTCTAAATCTACTTCTCAATTAACTCTTTGTTTATTTCTTGGGTCTACCTCTGAATCTTGCAAGTCAAGAAAACCCAACGTGTAACATTAGCAAAAGCAGCGACCGCGGTGCCCTTTTGCAACAATGTAAATTAATCGTGTAGGACGAGTGCACAATGTCGCACAAGCGCGTGGTTGAGGCTTTGAACCGGAGCCTGCAGGACATCCGCAGCAATGAGACGCTGATGGGAGGTGCTGTTGTTGTACTCACTGGTGATTTTCGGCAAACTCTTCCAGTTATCGAAAATGGTACACCGGCAGATGAAATGAACGCGTGTCTCAAGGCTTCGTCACTTTGGTCCAACGTAGAAAAACTCCACCTTACTCGGAATATGCGTGCACAACCTTACAATGATACAGAGTCAGGTGCGTTTGCGAGTAAGCTGCTCGAGATCGGAGATGGTACGCTGAAAACCGATCCGGACGGCAAAATCATTTTCACCAATGAATTTTGTGCTATCGAGGAAGAACTACTCGCCGATGTATTTCCCGATTTAAAAAAACAAATTAAATAATGAGGAGTGGTTGTGTGAGAAAGCAGTACTGTCGCCAAAAAATGAATTAGTGAATAAAATAAACAACAAGGTATTAGATGTAGTAGATGGCGCATCGAGGGTGTACACGTCCATAGACACGGTGATGGCAAGCGATGACAGCACTGCGTATCCCTGGGAATTTCTCAACTCATTAGAATTGACCTGCGTACCGCCCCACAAGCTGGAGCTGAAGGTTGGCGTCGCAGTTGATGCGTAATCTTGACGCTCCGCGATTGTGCAACGGCACAAGATTACAAATTAGCGAATTGGGAAGAAACATTCTGCGAGCAACAATACTTACGGGAGCAGCTAAAGACGAGAGCGTGTTGATTCCCCGCATACCCATTATACCCCACAATTTACCATTCCAGTTCAAAAGGCTGCAGTTCCCATTGAAATTGGCATTTGCTATGACCATCAATAAGTCCCAGGGACAAACCCTAAAAGTGGCCGGCATACATTTGGGCATTCCCTGCTTTACCCATGGCCAGCTCTATGTGGCATGTTCTCGAGTGTCAAGTGCAAGGAACCTGTATGTACTTGCTGGAAATAACAGATCATACAACATCGTATATAGATCAATATTATAAGATAGTCATAATAGATGTTGTATGATTTATTATTATCAAAATCTGTTCAGTGGTTGCAGCGTGATAGACTAGCA